CACGATAGGCGATGCAGTCATCAAACTATTTAATGCAAGCTAAAACACGATAGGCGATGCAGTCATCAAACTATTTAATGCAAGCTAAAACCCAAAATGCGTTTTCATGAGCGAGTTCTCCACAGAACATGAAAATTTAAACACAAAAAGAGTTTATGGATAATCGAATAAACGGACTTAAAGAACATAATAACTACGTTTACCCGTCGTGCTTTGCAAATGGACATGGCGTCGCTGCACGTTGACCATCGAGAGGATTAAAACTATCCGTGGAATCAGTGTTACTAGATGTGATGGATGAAATTTATAGTTATCTAAAATATCGAAATAAAATTAAGGTTAAAGTTGTCTTCTTGAAATTATGACTGCAACATAAATAGCCAATATCGTGTGGACACCAATACAATAATTTTGTTTACAATAATTTTGTATTTTGCATTACGAATTCAATGTTTCGCAGTGTCGTCGCAAGACCAGTCGCTAGTGCAACACCTTACATCGATGGCAAAACAATTCCACTGATTGACCAACAAAGAAGGGAAATCGGCTCATATTATTACGATGAAAGGTTTGGAATCCTTTTCGATAAAATAACACGCAGACCATTTGTGGTGTTCTTKTACATGAAGCCAGGAAATTTGCACTTGCAGCACTGGAAAGATAAAGCTTAAAGCTTATAATCGAGATTTAGGGAGGTGGGGGTCTGGGGTGATGGATAGTGCACAAGATGCTTTTCAACCCAACTTTCAGACAGTAAAAAAAAAAACAGACAGAGAAACACATAACAAAACACAAAGTGCGGTGAGCGATGATGCGTGAAGATGTAACTTAATTAAACATTCGAAGAAATTAGCGTTTTCGCTTGTCCACGAATCTTTTGCGCTTTGAGTTACTATGTGGTCATGTTATCTAAACTACACTATTCACTACACTACTTATCAGTGTTTGCAGTCTATTTTTTCACGAGTTAACTACATTTTTGAAAAACCTTTAATCACTCAAATAACCAGAAAGTAAAGGAAAACGTTAAAATATATCAAATAGTTTTTTTTACAAATACGGCACTAGCCTCTTAACAAATAATCTCAGAGTATTGCATGCATTGGATGCCTATTATAAGATTTTATCAGGATAAAAAAAGGTACGTACTTTACGATAAGCGTTGCGTTAACCCTTCTTTGCAATGGTATTGCGTAAAATCATGAATTGTTTACTCTATGTACGTTGTGATACGGAAGTCTAAATGTTGGCTTTGTACAATAAGTTATGTTCATGAATAATGTGRGTCTTAGACCCTGTTTACATGAGATAGGGTGCCCCTACTGATAGGGTCAAAATCCTTTGTTTTAAATCGACCAGGGAAAAGAAAATAAAAGAGTTGGCCCTGCCACGTAGGGGCACCCTATCTCATGTAAACAGGGTCTTAAAACATATACAATGTTGGTCAACTACGCTGCGACGACTTAGAACGGATTGTATGTACTGCAATACTCCCCTGGGTGTGACGCTGACCCCTAGAGGGTGGGGGTGGAGAGGAAGGASCTGGAAGAGACAATTGAGGACTTGCCATCTGAAAAACAATGCAGCTTCATTAGATTTCGTGACATCGACGTGAYAGGAAAGTGTGACAGTGTCATTCTTGTGCAGCTKCAATAAATACAAACRGTGTACCTTGCTGGTAACAGGTCCGCTTCCTGGTAATTCACCAGTCTGTCTGGACAAGCGTGACCATGTAGCTTTCAGCTCCATTTGATGACGACGATCTGAGGAGACAAAGAATAGTTTTGTTGTCGGGTAACATTAACCTGTACACCATCATTTCTGCCATAGTATTGGCAAARTATTCTGCACACAAGAAAGGTATTACGCGCCTTGATTGAATGTTCCAGGTTTTTACGATCTCCCTGGTCTKCGGCATCCTAAAAGRAATTTTGGTTCCGTACATCAAGACCTCGGGCAGTTTTTCACTCGTATGGACCTCAATGCTGGTAAACAACTTGTATAGTAAAGTATTATCATAACTATTAAAAACAYGGACGCATGCGCACACCAGTATAGCGCTTGTCAAAAGAAAAGCCTAAAAACAAAATCACAGCACCGACAGACAGGCTGGCAAAACAAAAGGYACTCGACAATAACAAATAGCATTGTGTTACCTCTTGCTCGAATGAAGCTGTCTCCACAACTAACACAAAGGACTTCATCACGCGATAGCTCCTCCATATCAAATACCTACAGGACATAAAGCAACATCAGAACTGAAGAGATATGGACAACATGCCTCGAATATATTGTTTAAGATTAACAGATAATTATATTATACTATTGTGATTAACTTGTTGTAATTTTTGATACTTGCGAGTACATTATTGCACCAATTAACTGACGAAAAGAATTGTGGGATATAAAATCTTATTTTCTGAAAGGCGATAACTTGCAAAGACTTTAATGGGCAAAAATATACGTTCCGTTTGCTAAGGTCCGTATGGAAAACTTGAAATTCTGTTGAAAGGTGTTTTGCTTTTTAATTTTAAAATTCCAACCGATGCAATAGGACTTCATTAGTCTTGAAGTAAAACAGACCTCTTGTCCATCGGTCTTGAAGAGTCGACGAGCAGCACTGCTGAGATTTAATCGYGATGTGCTGTGGTCAAGAATCTGTATAGATAAGAGAAAACACTTTATTTTAACTAAAAATATATAATGTAAGAATAAATACAACGTACTTCTCTGATAGTTGCACCAAACACCACTACAGACCTTTCAGCGGTCTCGCCATTAGGATACACTTGAACACGAAGCTATGAAAATCGATAATTAAATTAATGATGATGACGATGATGGTGATAAACATAAGTATGCTTTCTTAAGACAGAAAACATGAAATCGCCAGATAATGAGGACTTATTATCCCGTGCAGTTATCAACATGTAATCAGTACTATCMAAAAATATCAGATGTCACGTGACTGYACACGGAACACTTGACGGGCAACGCACGCTCCCGGATCCTCTATTTGTATTGACGACATATTCAATATTGAATTGAGAAAGGATCATACCTTGATCACTAACATCATTTAAATCATCACTATCATTTCGTTTACCGTTTTTGGCGTGCTGTACAGTCGYTGTGTGCTTTCTTTAGCACCTTTAGACAGGACCATATGCTCATTCTTTTGACGCGACTTCACGTTATTGAGATGCATCTGTAATTGACCAGGTAGGTTACTGATTTGCAGGACAAATGACAATGCTTTGACTACCACAACCATACTCACTTGAGCTGGTTGATTCATTGATTAACAATTGAAAAGGTTGGAATATGTCTAATAAACTTATCATTAGCCTGATTATTCACAAATTTGTGTCTTTATTTACAAACCTTGAGTTGGTTGATCGTCTCTTCTTTATTTTCTTCCTTAATGGTTGGCTCAGTCCAAGATGGCGCCAGGGCTGTGGGTGACTGCGGTGGACTGGAACGACCAATGCGGCGACCTGCAAGTAACACAGACAATCGTATTAAGTTAACTTCAAATAAGGGTYGGTTCCTAAGRCAATAGTTAGCTTTAGAATAAAAGGATTGCGTACCTTGCATCTGACGTAATACATGTTTTTCCATGTCAAGATAAGCTTGAACCCAGGTCCTCTCTTCTCGATGTTTCATTGACAGCAAATATTGTTTGTCTGCGTCTGTAAAGTGGCATTTATGTCAATTAAAATTTTCTTCTGAMTACCCATACTTTGGGTAACGTAACAGCGGCATATTCGGCCGGGCATCGTCGGTGGAATAGTGGCCAAGGTAAAATAAAGAATTTAAAAAAGTAATAAAATAAACTCGATCACAAATCAACTATTTTGTCGTTAATTCATGTGCAGACTTACCCTCTAGCGGTACAAACGGCTCACCACAGGATATCCACACATCAATAGGCCATCTAGTATCCCAGTGTGGGAATCCCTCGGTATTTACAGTTGGTAGTGATCTTCTTGTACGACCTTTACCCAGTCTGAAGGTCTCGTTACCAGTCTCTTCCTCGTCCTCCTGGCCGTCCAAATCATTCAGGTCCAGGTTTTCTACGTGAACATTGTTATCTGGTGTGTAGTGACGACGATTCTCTGCTTCTATGTAATCCACTGCATG